CCGCCTTCCACCAGGCCGCCCGCACCGCTCCGGCCCCCGCTAGACTCACCCTGTACCCGGATCACAGGCACGCTCCCCCGCCTCCTGTGCCACCCCCGGGCCGGGGCCGTAGTCTCCACCTCCATGCACCAGACACTTGGGTCCCGGCCTGCAGGGCACGTCCCTCCCCCCTTCCCCCACCAAGGAAAACCTGCCAGTCCCCACCCCCTCCTCCGGGGCCGGCCCCTTCCCCCGCGCCGCCCCCGCCGCAGCCGTCCGCGGCCTGAGGCCAGCCGGGTCCCGGGAGGGGAAAGGCTATCCCGGACCAGCGGCTCTGGACTAACAGCTCCCGGGCCATCGCGGCACTGGACAGCAGGAACGGGACGGGAACGGCAGCAGCCACCTCCCGCCCCCGCCCCTCCTCCCGGCTCCGCGCTACTCACTGACAGCTGCGGCATCCGAGTGCATTTTCGGGCAGCTCACACCCCGCTCGCCGCCCGGGCTCCCGCGCTCGCCTCGCGGTCCCCCCACCGGCTCTCTGCACCTCAGCTCCGAGCAGAGGACCAGCCGCTGGCCACTTTGGGCTCGCCCATCCCGCCCTCTTCATTGGCTGGACCTCGGTCGAGGGACCGCCCCTCTTCGGCTCTCATTTGACCAAAGCAGTGCCGATAGCGGGGCTCGGGAGCTGGCTAGGAGGCCCCACCCCCATGCGCAATGCCATTGGCCCCGGCTCCTTGTCTCCATTCCACCCCTGGAGGAGGAGGCCACGCTCTACAGACGCACATTGGACACCGCTGCTGTCAGTCATCCCTGGGGGTCCGAAAGCGCGTGGAGGGGCGAGGCTGGGGAATGGGTCCACCTTGACCCTGAAGCCCCGCCCTATGGCGGGCGGGATTGGTGAAGCTCCAGATCCACCGGGATCCCCTGGTCAGCGTCTGAAACAAAGCACCCAAAGTGGTCCCTGTAGCCGCACTCAGGGCTGCCTGGATCCCGGGGCTCGGAGGAAGGGTGTCAGCCGGCCCCGCGCCCGCGCCTTGGGTCACAGGGTCCCGCAGCCTCCATTGAGGTCCCAGCCCGCGCCGAGCCCGACTGCAACTTTCCTTGCCAGCGGTTTCCTACCGCAGGGAACTGGAAAAAAATCGTCGCGCCTCTGTATAGAGCAAACCCTCCCTTTTCTTTCATGAGCTCTCCATCCCCAACTTTGGAAATGCGCTTTTCCAGAGCCAGCACAGCTCTTTACCCCTTCGTGACGCCTTGGCTGTACCAAAGGTTTCAATGCTCCAAGCATTATCCCTCGGCAGCGTTCGCAAAACCCAGGGCCACGCTGGGCTCCCGGGTCAGACTGACTTGTGGGCAAGCCCCGGGGAGACCGCTACCCTGCTAGTCAGAGAAATCCCAAGCCACCGATGCCAAGAAACCCGCCAGAAAAGGAACCACTGTTTGGCAAAGGGAGATCAGTTCTTCTGACCCTTTAAGTTTCCTAAATCAAAATTTTGCACCTTTTTTTTTTTTTTTATGAATTGCCCTATTTTTTTTCCAATGTTTGAACACCAGCTCTTCAGACTCCTCACATTAAGGTAATGGAATAATCCTTCGAGATGTACTCGGAGGACTGCCCCGCCCCCACCCCAAGGACACACGCCTTGTCCCTACTTCCCATGGCTGTGCTCCCACCCCACCCCCAACTACTGCCTGAACATTCTGCAGATCCAGCCACAAGAGAGTGGATGACACAGCCAATTGACAGATGACTAAACGGTCAGATGTTAGGCTTAAGAATTCTACAGCCTAGGCTTTTGGGCTGCGGAAATCTGAAATTCGGTTTCAAATCAGGACATCGATATTAAACTAAAATCAAGATATCTGAACGTCCATGTGGCCCACATCACTTAGTTGTAAGGTGCTCATACCTCTTGATCGCCCGTTTTTCTGTAATAAATTACATCCTTACAATTTGTCATATTATTCAAACCCTTATGAATCACTTCGTCGTATTGCAAAATCTCAGACTTGCACCTGAAGTTACAACAGGTTCCTTCTTAAGACAACAATCCTTCATAGAACATTCCTCTGGGTCCCCATCAACAGGACAGCATCTAAGCTAAGCCCCATAGAAAAGGGTGGTTACTCCAAGATGGGGGATTCCTGTAAGAAAGCGCTTACTCTGAGCAGGTAAAATGGTACTCTTGTGTTTTCAGCCTGAAGATTCTAGAGAATCAAGAGCTATATAAACTTACTAATATTTTGCAGATGTAAATATTTGCGTTTGGGTTTTGTTTCCCATATTGTTTCTTGCAGAACAGGACTTGCTTCTTGGCTCAGGCTACTAATTTGCTATATTGGTTTTTTTGGTAGCAAACATTATAATTTCTTGATTAAGTCTAAAGAACCTATCAGCCATCTGCTTTCCCCTTAACCCTCAGCACTTCCTTGACACTTGCATGGTATCCATAAAAATGGACCTAATTCCCCATCTTTGTTGTTTCTCAGCTTTCATTCCAGTAAGAATGAAAGTCTGATAATTTTCAAGTAAAATACAGACTTCAGAGTAAATTCCCCAGATCACTGTAGTAAGTCAGCTGTAGCCTGACAGTTGACAGGCAACACTGTTAGTCAGCTGGGCCTCTCTGCCCCACATCTCATGAATAATAAAAGTTGTAATAAAATAATTACACGGTGCAGTGTGGACACTGCCCAGGCATTTTAACAATACACAAAATTATAAACCTTTGTGTTCAGGAAACTTGTTATATTTATGCTTTCATTTCCCTAGCACCTGGCACAGTGACTTCCAGTCCTGGCCAGTGATTCACTATTCCTAAAAGTGAAGTGAATGTTAACTAATGGGAAATTCTATATCTGGAAGGAAGCTTGGAGATTATCAAGTCCTACTTCCTCATTTTAAGACTATGAGACTTTAAAGTTCAAAGGAGTTAACTATCCATTCTAAGTCATCTGGTTAAGTAATAGCAAAGCAGTAATTGAAAACTCAAGTTTCCCAACTTCTTGTCCACATCTTCCCAACATCACATAGGTCAGATGTCAAAACCTCAAGTTCCAAATATGGGTACTTATACTCTCCCTATTTAAAATGTTCCATGGGCTGCAGAAATGGCTCAGTGGTTAAGAGCACTAGCTGCTCTTGCAGAGGACCCAGGTTTAAATCCCAGCACCCACATGGTGGCTAACAAACATCCATTAAGTCCAGTTCCAGGGGATCCAGTGCTCTCTTCTGACCTCCATGGGCATTGCACAACATGGGTGCACTTACACACATGCAGACAATACCCTCATACACAAAAAAATTAATGTTTAGAAATTTTCAATGCAACTTCTATGCTTCATGTTTGAAATATGGCCTCATAGAATTCAGTAAAGAATCTTTCAATATATAATATGCTATTTCAGTCTCTTCTCATTTGGTAACATTTCCAAATAATGAGATCTCTGTAGAGATTTTTACTGCTTTTATATTCAAATCCTGGGGGGTGATAATAAAAATAATTGAGCATCTTGGGACAATTAGTGTCTTTAGGATGGGCAAAGATATTTGGGGATAGAGTTATGCCTCTTCATTTCATGTGGTTACTGACTTAATGTTATATTAAGGCAAGTTACTTAGTGTTAACCAATTCCTTATTTAATTGGTTGATCCGTACTTTATAGATTATATAATATTAATTTTAATAAGATAGATTTTTTAATACCTTAAGCCTAGATGAGAATTTGACATGGAAAACTCTAGTAAAAGGAAAAAATAGACGTCT